TCAATCGTTCCCAACATCAGGGTCTTTTCCAAAGGGTCCTCTCTTCCCATTAGGTGACCAAAGTATCTGAGCTTGAGCTTCAGGATCAATCCTTCCAATTACCAGTCAGGGTTGATTTCCTTTAAGATTGACTGGTTTAACCTCCTAGCAGTCCAGGGGACTCTTAAGAGTCTTCTCCAGCACCACAGTTCAAAGGCATCAATTCTTCGGCACTCAGCCTTCTTTATGGTCCAGCTCTCACAGCCATACATTACTACTGGATCCATCATGTTAGACATTAATATTTGATAGCACATTTTTGAGTTGCTCTGGGCCTCCAGATGATTTTTTCAGGGGCCACAAGCAGGCCTGGGTCTCAGGGTGTCCCTCACATTTTTAAATATTTATCCCCAATCTTTCTTTGCAGCAGGTAGCTGACAATCAGAAAAGTGTTAATACACAATAAACAAAGTTGGAGGGTTTTAAAAATCATTTATAAAATATCCATTATAAAATGTTACGTTAAAGGTATAGCTATTTACTTGTGTTTGACAACAGGCAATAGGAGCAGCATGGGTCTCCATATTTAGATCAAATTTATTTTTAGCCATGTAGATCATGGGAAGTTTATTAAATCTCAGCTCCACTGGTATTTATAAATAGTAATAACAGAGCATATTAAGGGAGCTTGGGTTCTGTCTGCACTTTTTTCTTCTTTTTGACTGAGAAATAATTAGAAGAGCTACTAGGTAGGAAGAATATTTGCTTTTTCTCCTGACATAAAGGTTAGAAGGGGAATATTTTTTAATCACATTTGTCCTATGGAAGATATGCATCAGTATCAGCAACATATGGTGGTTTTCTTCCAGTTTGGGAGAATTATTTTTCTCTGCGTGGAAATAAATCCCTGGAAGTCTTCATTTAAAATACACTGCTATACAGGTAGTCCTTGCTTAACAACTGCCCTGGTTAGCAACCGTTTGAAGTTACAATGGTGCTGAAAAAATAACTTTACTTCTGATTCTCTCACTTACAATCATCATAGCATTCCTGCGGTCATGTGATCGAGATTCAGGCGCTTCACAACCAGTGGGCGTTAATGACTGTCACAGCGCCCTGCTGTCATGTGATTGATTGTCATTTGCGCACTTCACAGCTAGCTTCCGACAAGCAGAGTCAATGGAGAAGCCAGCAGTAAAATTGCAAGTTGTGGTCACGTGATGCCTTGCTTAACAACTGCGGGTGATTTGCAGTCACATGATGTCTCAACAACTGCATCACTTAGCCACGGAGTTGCCAGACCCAATGTGGTCATTAAGTGAGGACTACCTGTAGTTCCATTACTTACTGATCAAATCTGTTTAATAAAATATTTAAGCTCACTTTTCTATTGATGAGCTTCAGATCAGGGGCATCCAGGGGGGAATCAAAAAAGTCAAGATGGTGGCCAGAGCCCCATGATTAAAGGTGTGTTGCACGTGCAAAAAAGGGGTCAGGTTTCAATTGCATGGTTGTGGCTACCATCTTGACCTTTTTGACCACAGTCACCCCTGCTTCAGATATCTTTATAAATGTTAATTAGTATATAACAGCCAGAAGAAAGAAATAAAAATGCTCTTAATAGCTTTTTTGATAAAGTGAATCTTAATGCTAAAGATCTAATTGCATTCCCTCTGGCTTTAATATCATCAGCGATGCACCTCTGCACATATAAATGTTATAACTCTGTCAGGCAGAACCGAAAGCACGTTTCCATAACATACACCAAGACCTATGTTAAATATCCTGTTTGTACCAAACCAGCAATGCAATGAAGCATGTTGTATATTTTTAAACAGGGATATGTTTACTGAAGTCACATGTTATGAACTGTGTATGACCTGGAGCAAATATTTTGAACAAGAAGGTTCCCAGAAAAGAACTGGACTGTCATAGATGATTAGCCTGAAGTGTTTAACCAAGAAATGACTATTTGTTCTCATTTCTCTAACTCAGAAAACAGAAGATATTTTGGCAGAAGACAAGCAACATGAAAAGGAAGAAGAATCTCCCCAAACCATGTATGCCTCTCTCTATTTTTTTACCTCTCTCTTGTGAAAAACACTTTTAGGAAAGGCCACCACCAAAATTAAGTTTACTGCTGTACAGAAATAGATGCAGGTCCAGTGCAGTTAAAGGCAGGCAGACGGTAGCATTTGAAAGGGGGAGATCTAAACATCTAAAAGACTTCCTCCTTCCTGTAGAGGTGCTAGATCTGGGCCTCAGAACTCCAGATGATCACTCTTTGCTCCCATCTAGTTGTTCCCAAGATTTTGCAATCCAGATATGGTAGCCTAACTTTCCTGAAACCTGGAATACTAGCCTTCTCTGATTCTCTGACACTCGAACTCCTGGAAGATATTCCATGGGTGCAAGAAGGAGAGCTCCCAAGTCCCCTTCCTTCTTGATTGATTTACTTGGCACATTTATAAGGCTGCCCAACTCAAGCCATGTGACTCTGGGCACATTACAGCCACAAGTAAACATTAGCAAAAAAGGAAGCATGCATCGTTTAAAATGAAATCCTCCTTCGCTATGAAGTCTTTTCTACAGCTTCTGTAGAAATTGTATTGTATATACCTTTATTATTTGTAAAGCAGCTACAGTCTGTTAGGATCGAGGGAGCAGATAATTGCATAAAAGGAGAGAAGGAAGGGAGGAAGAGAGGGAGGAAGTGGGAGATCATCAGAGGGGAATGTTGGGCAATATGGGATGGGGTCATCATAATCATGTCAGTCCTAATTTATGTGATTTCCTTTGAGGCTTTTGCTCAGACAATTGCACTTTTATGTAATATACATATACTGTAGAAAAATGGTAACTTAATTTATGGGAATTTCTGCATACACACATGCCTCAAAATTAGTCAGAGGGTATAATGCAGTGATATTTCATTTTTGCAGGTCCCAAAGCAGCTGGCTGTGCTGTTTTCCTCTCTGGATGAAGCAGAAGAAAAAAAGGGAAAAACAAGAGTAGCTACAAACTGGTTAATATTCCTTCATGGATAGATGGGGCTGGGGGACTGAGAAAGACAGGAAAGGTTTTCATCTGACATTCATGCTTACTCCTGGTCACAATCCAAAAACAGCCATCCTCAACTGTAACATCAAATCATTCTTTAATGTTGTGTGAATAAGCAAGCCACAAGCACCCACATTTGCCAATGACAGAAGATTCCCTAGGGTGACACCTACCTGCGTCAAGGGTGTTCATCCAGAGACTAATTCTCTTGCAGGGCTTCTGGCATTGATTGCTTGACCGTGGGAATATTTATTTTTATACTAGCTGGATTTTCTCCCCGCTAGCAATCATCTCTTGAGAGTAGAACATCCACATGGGCTCCTAGCAGGATTCATGTCAATATTTTTTAACCTTCCTACTTTGGATTTCCCAAAACTTTGTGGCAGTTTGGATGAGGCTAGATGGATCTGGTGTATTACTTGGGTCTATCCTGGGACAGCAGGTGTGAGATCAGTAACAAAGGAAAGCTTGTCAGATCATAGCCAAAGTTCATGCTAACCTCTCACAGCTTAATAGACAGGACAAGATTATATTGGTTGGACAAATAACACACTGGCTACATAGCAATGCTATCCATGCCACCAAATATATTTGCTCATTATTGGGTTTATTTCAAATGTCAGTTCATGCATATAAACTGTTACTATGAGTGGGAGAAGGCAGGGCAAAGCCAAAGCAGGCAGGGCCATCTGTGAAGAGGTGGGTGTAAAAATCAAAATGGTGTCCATGACTGTGCAATTGAAGCCCCACCCATTTTTATGCTTATCGCATGCCTTGACATCCCCACCTCCCGAACATCCCTGAAAGTACCATGGGTGAGAAGCACAAACGGGACTCACGAAATGTGCTATATCTATTCTGCCATGCTGATTATTCTACGTATCCCTACCCCAACAGAATGATCCACCTTTTTAGAATATAAGGCCTGATTCAGAATGGAAGAATGGATGGTCAGCTGAAGGATGAACCTTGAATAAACTCAAATCCAGAGCTAGGCTGATGGCTTCTTCACTTTATTGAGGTGGCTAAGACGCTGTGTGGTGACCGAATCAGTGGATTCCCAAAAAATAAAGGCAATATGAAAGTAGAGAAATGTCAAAAAGAACTGCATTTCGAATAAAGCAGCAAGCCAAGGCAGCAGCTGTGAAGGCTGCTCGTGTGCATATGCTCACCAGGCGTGTAACATGGCGGCGTGCGTGTTTGCTTGTTCCCTACGTTGAATCAGACTTATTAGTTGCCCCAAATGGTGACATGGAAAAGCATGTTGCTCCAAGGAGACTCAAAGCTCAGTGCTCCTCTGAAATGGAGATGCTAGGGTTAAATATGCCTCTTCTCCCAAAGCAAGGAGGCCGTCGGTCATTCCTTTGTTTGAAAGATACTGCATATTTTCTTGCACG